TATCCTGTCAGGTAAAAGTAACAGCTCCCTTCCCTGGCTCCTGCTGGGAGGTTCTACCTTCAGTTAGGTTTCCCTCTTAGAGGGAAGCCTTATAATTTGCTTATGTTAGAAAATAGAGCACTGTGTTTTGTATGTAATCACGTAGGACATGGTCACAGAAGTCGGCCTGGGACAGCCAGAGGTACCAGGACTCTAAGATAAGAAAGCGTGACTTAAAGTCGCCTTTAATTGATCCGTGAAGTGTTCAGTATTCATATGTGGGAACTACCTCTCAGAAGTAGTAAGCCTCAAGTTAAATAACATATGGAAATCTACCTTTTAAATCATCAAATACTTTTTTTCTAATTATTCAACTGGTGCTAATAGAACATGGGTCCTTCGTGACTCCTCAGAGAAAGCAGTATCACATAAACCAAATATGTTATTTTAGTAATCATGACTGCTTTTCAATGTCCCTACCAAGGAAGTTATGCCAAGTGAGAGAGACAGAGAGATAAAATGCAAGAAATCACCCTTTCAGGGGGAATGGCCACACTGCAATCCCTTCTCCATTCTCCTCTTAGGATTTTGGGCACACATGCACACATGCCCCGCATGAGTTTTAAGTCACCAGATCTGGGACTTGAACTGTGGTCGGCCATGTGGGAGACCAGCAATATAACCATTATGCCATCTGCTGGTTCCATAATTCACATTTTCTATGCACTTTTTCTGTGAACTTTTTGAAGACCCCACATACATATTTAGGAGATGGAGAGAGCATGGTCAACTAAGCCAAAAATTAGCACTGACCTTCCTTCTTCAAGTATCCTGTCAGGTAAAAGTAACAGCTCCCTTCCCTGGCTCCTGCTGGGAGGTTCTACCTTCAGTTAGGTTTCCCTCTTAGAGGGAAGCCTTATAATTTGCTTATGTTAGAAAATAGAGCACTGTGTTTTGTATGTAATCACGTAGGACATGGTCACAGAAGTCGGCCTGGGACAGCCAGAGGTACCAGGACTCTAAGATAAGAAAGCGTGACTTAAAGTCGCCTTTAATTGATCCGTGAAGTGTTCAGTATTCATATGTGGGAACTACCTCTCAGAAGTAGTAAGCCTCAAGTTAAATAACATATGGAAATCTACCTTTTAAATCATCAAATACTTTTTTTCTAATTATTCAACTGGTGCTAATAGAACATGGGTCCTTCGTGACTCCTCAGAGAAAGCAGTATCACATAAACCAAATATGTTATTTTAGTAATCATGACTGCTTTTCAATGTCCCTACCAAGGAAGTTATGCCAAGTGACAGCACTATTATACTCGAAGTACTCTAGTCGTGACAAGAATTCACAAGTTCTTGTCAGAGGAACTTAAGACTTTATAAACAACTTAAAAATCCCAGAAGGTCATCTTCATTATATCCCTATGAAATGCTAAGAATCTATTAAAACAACAACAGTGAACCTGCTGGCCCACCCAAATAGGGATATGTTTGCATTTTTTAAAAAGGCTGGGGCAGGGGAGGTGGGTGCAGGAGGGAGAGAGAGGAGGGGGTAAGGAAGGCAAAACTCAGCATGAAAAAAAAAAGTCATCATAATTAGTAATCTGCTTAATAGGAAACATTATTTAATGTAAACATTCTGTTACATCATTCCACCATCACCATTCATAAAATGCATTTATTTTAGAATCTCAGAATACTTCCCTTGGATATCTCCTTCATCTGAGCCTCACTTTGAGAGCCTCGTTAAGTGGAAGCTATACTTATTTCTCTCAAAGAATACTCAAAAACAGCAACTTACATCTGCTTAATAGCTGTGTGAAAAGTACCTGCTGCCTGCCACCTCTGTGAGCCCTGGCTCGCAGTTACCACACACCATAGGCCAACACCAAACAAGCATGGAGATAGAGGGAACTATCCCATGAGCCTGCCCAGAACAGCTCTCCAGAGATCTACAAGCGTTGGATGGATGAGGTGACCTGGGCCCAGAGAGGACAGAGAGCCAGAACATATGCAATGGCCACAATAAAGCCAGAATTTGACTACTGGACTCTCCATTACTTTCTCTCTCCTTCTCTATTACATCGCCCAGTCTTCTCATAAGACCCAACTCCATGAGGTCTTTCACCTTGACCCTTCTCTACGACACGATTAGCCTTGAGGAAGGTGAGTAAACATAGTGAAAGGAGCCCAAAGTTCTCATCAGTTGACTTGCAATGCATCTCAGGCAAGCTGATTTGCTCTCTGAACTTCTGTTTCCCTACGGGAAAGAGGATAATAACCGCATCTGTTCCATTTCCTTCTAAACGAAAATCAAAACTGTAAATCACTCTGCAGAAGTTCAAAAATTTTTTGGTTCTGATGATCTAAATGGATTATTTAATGAAGGTGCCTTAATCACAAGGTCCTTATGATCTTTTTTTATATTTTGACTTCTCAGAACAGGGGTCGGCAAACTCAAGCCAGATTCAGCCCACCCACTGTTCCCAAGATGCAGCAGCCACGTGTGCCTATAACTTCTGCTTGCTTTCATACAACGGCAGACTCATGGAACTGTAGGAAAGACTGCATGGCCCACAGAGGTTAAAATAGATACTGTATAGCCCTTTACAGAAGTTGTTTACTAGCTTCCACCTTTCAGTGCCCTGAAATATTAAAGGCCAAAGGGAATGGCTAGCAATAATGACAATTTAAAAATTTTCCTCTAAGTATACTGTTTTCCATTATATAGATTTATCTTGCATGTCAAAAGATTTCATATACTGTAAACAAATACAGAGGAAAAAAATTAACCAATCCAAAAAAAATTAAACCACCAATTGTAAGTAAGACAATCACATTAAACCAGTATAGTAAAAAATAATACATGCTTAAGACTGAATTTTAAATCTGTATTATTTTAAGGACCACCACACATAAGTTCTATGACATTGCCATTCTTCAATTAAAAAAAAAAAAAAAAACATAAAACGTGTTTCTTAAACTATTCAATATTTAGGCGAAAATGTAAACAAGAGAGGGAAATAGCTCAGGACAGAAATGAAATAGTTCCCATGATTTCCAGTGTGAAACTCTTTATTACCATGGTCACTCTTTAACACCACCACGCCTTTTTTTTTTAATTAAGCTACTGTGCCAATCCTTCTGTAGAGTTTTCTCATTTTAAAATGCTTTTTGTAAAGAATTGTGCTTCGTTTTATGTTTTGAATGGACTCTGTATCCTGTTCCTAAACATCTGGTTCGATGCCAGAAAGGAAAGTGTGTGACGTGTTTTAACAAGTCCACTTCCTCTGTTTCTCCAAGTCTTCAAATATTTAGTTTCAAAGTGAATACACTATAAGCCAAAAAAATGACCACCCATTCCATTATTCTGTCATTGCTACTGTAAAGGTTTACCATAAATGGAGGGGGGGGCAGATATCATGGATGGGGGTCAGGAGCAGTAAGGAAGGTATCCACGAAAAAGCAGGAAAAGCCAAAAAGCTCTTATAACCCTGTGGGAACTGCCTGTTCCCTTCCTCTGCAGACCTCTAGCTCTCCAAAAAAAAAAAGTCAGAAAATAATATTACATATTGCTGATAAAAAGTCCTAAGATCTTTAGAGACAGACTGAATTTGGGAGATCACTAAACGTAATCCCATCTATTTTATGGATGAGAAAAACTGAGGCCCAGAAACAACCGGAATGCCCTGCAGATTAGCTAGTTAGCAGCAAAACTGGGACCAGAATCCAGTTTCCTGATCATCAGTTCAAGACACTTCCCTTTGGACTCAGCTCCCTGCTCGGCTAAGCATAATGTGCCATTTGGCACGTAACAGCTAAATTCTTTTTCAGAATATACCCAAAGTACTTCTGCCACAGCCAGAAAGTTTACAACATGCTTTTAAATCATATCTATGGGCACTAGTTTTTCCACAGACAGGCGATCAAGACTGTGTCAACCTCATAAGGGTTAGGCATTACAATAAAGCAGAATAATAATCAAAAAGCTAATAAAGACTTCAGGCTGCCCTTCGTATTTTGTCTTGATGGAAATCAGTTCGAAATAGACACCCCTTTCCTAACCCCCTAGACACGCACTCCCAAGACTAAACAGCAATATTCCATAAAAAGACTAGATCTAGCCAGTGTTATTATCTGTCTGACATTTGGGTTATTCTTGTGAGTAACTCATAAAGTAATGTGGGTGTCTGCGATTATTTGAGTACACCATGGCAAAACCATAATTGGTCAAAAAATAATAAAAGACATTTTTTTCTGTGACAAAAATACTGTGTTGCATGACAACATGGCACTACGACAGCATGGAGGGAACGGCAATACTTTCTCCCAAAAGTTAAAAAAAAAAAAAAAAAGAATTGAAAAAAGCAGCAAGAAGCTTTTTTGCAGTCAGTAACTACCAGTTCATATTTAAAGTGTCTGCATGCTGACAGTAAGCGACTAGGACATCTCTTTCCCCAAATCCAGGTAATATATCAACCTAAAATTTCGTTGTGTTACACAGAGCAGAAATGTGGCAAAAGATACAAGTCTGTATCACTTTCAACAACCAAAGCACAAGTTTTTGACAGTTTTTAGAGACATCTTTGAGACCTTGGCTATTAATGAAGTAAAATTGTAATTTTCACCACCTTCCACATTTTCTAACATGAGTCAAATCAAACGCAAATCCTACTTATCCCTAGCAAATAAAAGTTAAGCTGTGCACATCACACATGAGGGTCTTGATCTAAAATCTATTCTCTTCGGTCCGACATACACATTCCCATCACCACACGGCTGCATAAATACTAAGCAATAAGGGGGAATATTGTAAGTGCTATTTCTCTAAGAAACCAGCAATCGGGTTTAAAATGACCATGAAGGCGATTTCAAAGGTCTCATGAAAGCAGCAGATTTGTACTTATAGACAGAAACCCATTCAAGCACAGAGCAGTGTGGATGGAGGGGTTGTTGAAATGCTACCATCCCATAAAACTCTACTCGGCAGGGACAGTGAGGGACCGTGGAGGAACTCACCCACTCGGAAGTTCGTGGCCGTCAGGGTGTCGGCAGCATGACCATTCTCACTAATGAGAGTGGTGGTGTTCCCCTTCTCACAGCTGTTCTGACAGCTGCCCTTGGTGCAGGTCACTTTACAGATGCTCGGAGTAAAGACCACCTTGATGCGGCCAGTGTGGTTACTCACTAGGAGTGGAGGCAGGGAGAAAAAGAACAACAAACACATCAGCTTAGTATCCATGAACTTGCCTTGGAAGGCTTTAAAAAAAAAAAAAAAAGAATAGGAAAAAAAGAAAAGAAAAGAGCAAGAGGGGGATAGAGAGAGCCCACAACCCGACAGGTTTAAGGAAAGAGGGAAGCCTTTAGTGCTCGCTGCTCTGTATCCAGTGGTGTCTCTGAAACAGGAGTAGGAAGCTTAGCAAACAGAACTCTGGGATGCACTCCAAAACCACATTTGAAGTCGAGTCACTGGAGTGGGATTACTAACCACAATGCTGCACTTTATTCACGGGCAGACAAAGAGCAATACGGAGGGCACGACAGATTAAAGAGCCAACCCCGACAGGCAGATAGAATACAAAGAGGTTGGCCATGCACCTAGTGGTGAATAAACTCCTGTGTCCTCAACTTGCATACTTTCCCTGTTTCTCCACTTATTAAGTCACTATTTGCAGCCCGACCCCTGGAAATGTTTTAGGCATGCGGCATGTCTGAAAACATCTGTCTCAAATCTCCTGGCACTCTCGGCTGAAGTGATCAAATCCTGTGACGCAGCTGCAGGAGCCCATTGCTTTTTCACAACTCCAGGGCGTTATTTCTCGGTATGAATTTATGCAAAATATATTTTGCTTTCCTGTGAACAGAGCCCGTCTAAGGGAGAAGTTAGGCCAGATCAGAGAACTAGAGGGCTGCCTGTATTAAAATACCATCCTTGAACTCTTCCTGTGCACAGATCACCTGGGGCAGGTATTTCTTTCATTCACATGGCCCTTTCTCAAAAACCAAATACTACCACCTGACCAGGCAGCCAAAGCAGCACAGTCTCACAAAATGGGCACCAGACTAAAAGTAAACTTGGCTCGCAATTCTGGCTCCACCACGGTGTGACTTTGGCCATGTCATTTCACCTTTTCTCCAAAATGTGAGAGAATTGGAGCTGATGTTTTCTAGCCAATTCAGACTTTCTATATCAGGGGTCAGCAAGCCCAGGGGCCAACCTGCTTTTGTAACTAACGTTTACTAGAACCCAAACACACTCGCATTTATGTATCGTCTATGGCTGGTTTTTTTGCTATGACAGCCAAGTTGTGCAGAGACTAGGTGGAGTCTCCCAGACCTGCCCCTTCACAGCCAAGTACCTATCTGTACTGTTGAGAAACTGCCCTACAGAAACCCTGTTTGGACTTCCTCACCTGTGACATGCCTCAAGCCAGGTCCTTCCAGTGGCCATGGGGCTTCCACAATGGGCAAAGGATGGCTGGCTCTGGGCCAGCCTTTCGACCACCATCTCTGCCCACTGGAAAAGCTTCTACTTTGTACTGCTCTGGTTTAACCAGTACAATATTTTCAGAAAGTCATTCAAGATGCCTCTATAGACTGTTGACAAATTAAACTGTGGCCAAAATCCAAACTTGGAAACAAATGACTTTAACCAAAGCAGCCATTAGAATTTCAAGGTTAGAATGGGTTCTCAGGGGTTTTCAGACACAACCATTTCTCATCCATTATTTGCATTCCATGTATCCAGTGGTCACCTGGCCTTCATTCGGACTTCTCTAGTGACAGAGAGCTCATTACCTACTAAGCACATTGTAATTATGGGCAGTTCCTAGCAAAGACTGTTCTTTGAGCTGAAATTGTTATAATAACTTGGACCCACTAATGCTAATTCAGTTCCCCTGATCTCACAATCGAATGCCTCTTCCACATGATAGCCCTTCAAATACCCAAAGATAATTGTCACATAATCAGAGAAAACTAAATTTAGAAGGACATGAAGCATGAAGCCATCACTGGGACTGGCCCTTTCACTTAGAAAAAGAATACTTCCTCCAGAGTAGCAAGCCCCTATGTTCCTTTCGAACATTTTTCTGAGGAAATGTCTTCTTCATCAAGGTTTTAACAACGAAGATTGAGAATGGTGTCTGAGGAGGAGAGATATCCCAGCGGCCAACCCAGTCTTCCAGCACCTTGCACAAAGGCATTCAATAGAAAGCTACTAACAATGCTTTAAATCATGGGTTGGCAACCTTTTTCTTTAAAGGGCCAACTAGTAAATATTTTAGGATTGTGGGCCAAAAGGCCTCTTGTGCAACTCTTCAACTCTGCTGTAGTAGCTGGCAAGTAGCATGTCAAACACAATATGCAGGCCTGGCCCCATAGCAGTACACATAAATGCTATGCTCTGGAAGCCAGATCCCACGTGGCTGATCATGGTTCGAATCCCAGCCCTGGCAACTTGAAAACTGAAAAACATGCTGGACACATGTGCCCCAAATCCTGACAGGATGGAGAAATGGAAGAGAAAGGATTGCAACATGACTATGCCCTATTTAGGGGTGTTTTCTCCCCCCATCATGTGAATCCTCTAGGAATTTGAGCATGACTGTGACTTCATCTGATTCTCAAGTGAACCAATCCTTGAACTTTCCTCTTGATTCATGAATTCCAGTACCAATTTTTTAAAATATTTTTTTAAATTTAAGTTTATTTAACACTATTATTATTTTTTTTAATTTGACTGGGGTGAGAAGGAGTAAGAAAGCAAGTCACCAGGTTTGAGACTCAAACCACGGTCAACCATGTGGAAATCCAGTGCCTTTAACCACCATACCACCTGCCAGCCCTCTAGTACCAATTGTTAAAGTTTGCACCCACATCGTTACCAGGGAAAAAACTTCAGCCTATGTGGAATATGTAAAATAGCACCAATCTAGTCTCCCTTTGGGTTTTTCTTGTCATGACAAAGCACAATCACAATAAAGTTATAACATATCTGAACAGAAAAAGAAAATTAAAAAGTAATCCAGTATACAAATGAATGGGTGTGGCTGCATCCTAACAAAACTTTAAAGAAATACAGTTTACCAGAAAACACTGTTTTAAATGCTTGACATTCTGAAATTATCTGGGAGCCTACACTGGAAATATAGAGAAAAAAAAAAAGAGGTACACAGGAATGCTAATTCCCCAACCAGACAAAATCCACCTAGTTTGATTTGTTTTATTACAGGAGCACCAACAAATTAGCTCCTGCTCTAAGTTGTCAGGCCATACTTGCAAATATCTCGAGGATACTTTGTGTGTGCAAGTGTATGAAGCTCCAGGAAACAAAACAAAACAAAACAAAAAAAGACAGTATCTTCCCACTTCAAAAGAATACAGACTTCTATTTTTTCTGGCTCATGGTACAGTAATGAAATTAGGGAAACGGTATGCCAACTCTTTTGTCTTCTCTGGCATTAACTCACAGCACCAGCAGCTGCCATGCAGATGCTCACGCACTCACCTAGATCAAGCTCACTTCATCCTTATTCTCGTTTCACCTCCCAGCTACAGTAGCCACTGTATAGGCACTTGGGATTCCCTGGGCCTACTGTTTTTAAACACTTATTATATTTCTTTGCCAAAAATAAAAATGTGGGGCTTGGAATCATCTGGATTTTCAAAAGGCCGAGACAGTTTCATCCAGTTTAATTCTGATTTTAACAATGTGCACATCTTCTTAAAAGCTCAAGACACATTCTATTTCATATTTCCCCTTGTGTTCTATAAGCATTCTCTTATAAAGTAATCCCATTCTAAAGCAAATTTTTGTATTCCTGGTGAGTCCTCTCATTTCTTCAGGAAGCATTCATTTCTTTACTATCATTAACCTTGGATTTCCATGTCAATCTTCTCAAAGTAGGCAGTGAAAAACTCACAACTGCTTTTTTACTGGATGTTCATTCAGAGCTCTAGCAGGATCTCCATGAAGATCAAATGGATTAGGAAATCACTTTCCCTATCTCCTGTCTTTCACATCATTTCCATATATCCAGGATATGCTGTTGAGCATATTTGTTTTTGTTTTTTAAGTAAGGGTCTTGCTGTCACAGTCCTCCTGCCTCAGCCTTCCTGATCTGCTGGGATTACAGATGTGCCCCACCATGCCTGGCCTTTAAGTTGGACCAGGAACCAAATCCAGGCTTCCCATGTAGTCCCCTTCTGCGGAGCACAGCACGTTAGTAGCCTGGGCCACCACAGAAGGGCCAAGAGTTTAAGTTCACAAAACTAAGATCCACCACTCAGAGTTTCCAACTTCTCACATGTGACAAGTTTAAGACAATACCACACACTCTTAAGAGGTTTAATAGGAATTCACTAACAGTGACATGGACTCTCCTCCAGAGGCCATCTTGTCTAAAGAGGCATATTTCTTGAGTGCCTTGAATAAGCTAATGCTGAAGGATCCATGGTATATAGCATATGTGGGGCCCCAATAAATTGAGAATAAATGAAGTGATCCAAAGGTATCCATAAAAGTAGAGTAACTGTTGAACCCCCTCAGAGACCCTGATTCACAGGATGCTGGTGGTCACTGTGGTCCAAGGTCCTGGTTCACCAGTGAGGAAACAAGCTCTGGACAGACTACCAGTAGAAGACCCACCTTAGTGGTCCCTACCAGCTGATTAGCAATTACAACCTGGAGAAGCAGAAATTAGGCCAGTTAGAAGTTAACAGGGATAGCACATCTTTCATGCTTGAGGCCCCTTTAAAGAGCTCTACAGACTGATTCAATACACGGATCACGTGTCTTCTCTTCTGACTGTGACAAAAACTGAAGTAATGGACTTGCAGTCCATCACTTGCCCAAAACCCAAGAATTCTTTGAAGGACAAATCATAAAGTATTAAATAATGCTTAGACCAACAAGACTTTATTGTTTAAGTCGCTAGGCTTGCTTAACTCTTCTCGGACTATTAAAATAATGCCCACAGGGTGTTCTGTATTACTTGAGGAAGATGCTATGTCAATAAAAGTGAACATCAATTCTGTCACCTCCTTGGGCTGCCCTAGGGAGGGAACACAGATGGGATCTCTAGTACTGAGGTGGGCAGTTCCTCAGAAAAGAATCTAGAGTTACATTCCAGTTCTCTTCCCCCTCCATCTCATTTTCTCAAGTAGAATAACTAAATAAAGAAGTAGAGAGAGAAGCAGTTGCTACAGAGATGACATAAATCTAAGTAAAAAAAACGTGTGCTTTCTGTTCCTTTCAATTCTTTCTTCATTTTCACCAAAGGAAACTAAATATCAGATACTCATCTCTCTCCCACATACATATATCTGTGATTTCCTTACTTTTACACACATTAAGGAGACAGAGAGAAGCAAGGAAGGAAAGTGTAAATCATTTAAAA